GGTGGGAATGCAAACTTGTGCAGCCACTGTGGAAATCAGTGTGGCGGTTTCTCAGGAAACTGGGAGTCAACCTCCCTCAGGACCCAGCAATTCCACTCTTGGGAATATACCCAAGACATGCCCTATCATACCACAAAAGCATTTGCTCATCTATGTTCATAGCAGCACTATTTGTAATAGCCAGAACATGGAAACAACCTAGGTGCCCCTCAATAGAAGAATGGTTAAAAAAGGTGTGGAACATATACACATTAGAGTTTTGCTCAGTGGTAAAAAACAATAACATCTTGAATTTTGCATGCAAATGGATGGAAATATCAAACGCTTTACTGAGTGAGGTAAGCCAGACCCCAAAAGAGGAATATGGTATGTACTCACTCATAAGTGGATTCTAGCCGTAGTTAAAGGTCTTTGAACCTATAATTCGTGATCCTAGAGAAGCTAAATAAGAAGGTGAACCTGAAGAAAGTCATATAGTTATCCTCCTGGATATTAGAAGTAGACAAGATTGCCAGGCATACTTAGGTGCACGGGGGAGGGGGTGGAAGTAAGGGAGATGGTTAGAGAGAAGGGAGAGGGTGAGGACTGGGGATGGCTTGGGGGAATGGGATGGGGGGAAGGAGGAAGGATGGATATCAGAGCAGGGAAGTATATATCCTTTAACGTTTTAATTATGAAATTTCCTGATTCTCTATTTATGTTTTGCTACATTTGCTATGATTCAAATAGCATAATGTGTGTGTGCCTATCTTAATTTGGGTTACTATTGCTTTGATGAATCAACACAACCAAAAGCAAGTTAGAGAAGAAACGTTTATTTGGCTAATGCTTCCATATCCATAGTCTATGACTGAAGAAAGTTAGGAAAGGAACTTAGAGGCAGGAATTGATGCAGTTGCCATGGAAGGGAGCTGTTTAATTGCTTGCCCCCCATAGCTCGCTCAGTCTGTTTCCTTACGAAACTCAGGACCATCAGCCCATGGATGACACCACCTGTAAGGGACTAGGCCCTCTTTCATCAATTATCAATTAGAAGTATGCCCTATAGACTTGCTTCCAGCCCTATCTTATCAAAGCTTTGTGTAATCGAATAGCCTTTATTGAATTTAAATAATTTCTCCAATAGTGACTAAATTTTGGGACTAGGAGCAATGACAGATCTGTCATTGGACTTAATTTTCATTCTCTAATCTCTTTTAACATGGAACAATTCTTCATTCTTCAGAAACATTATAATTCTTTCAGCAATGTGTCACTATAAACAGTGTTCAGTACATGTGCTACAATAAAATTATGCATTCACATATGCATCCATAAGCCATAGAATCCCTTAAGTTTTATGAGTATTAAAATAAAACACACAGAGGTGTCAATCTTTTTATAAGCAATAATTATATATTAATTTTAAAATATGACAAACACTCTAAGTGCATCATATTCTAATTCTATGAAGAAGGTAACTTTTTTATTGATGGTACTAGTCTTTCGGAATCTCTTAAAATTTTCTAGCATTCAGGGGACATACACTTTGGAATTTTCATTGGAGTCACATTCAAACAAACAAGAATTTAAGAATATTGAAATATAGTCATAAGACTGAAAGGCTAGTGACTGACCCCTGTGTTATTACATAACTTTTATCTAATCTATTACATTTTCTGTCACTCAGTCAAGTTAGCATATTTCAAATGGAAGAGTTGATCAATACATTTTAAAAAGATGTAGTGAAAATATGAAATATATCTTGAATTATGAAATGGATTTCTAATAGTTAATAGCCTTAGACAAAGGAATAAGATAATAAACATAATATAATATAAATTATATATAAAATATAAATATCAAACATAATATATTTTTTTAATCTAAAAACATAAATAAAACATCTCTAAGTTGAGAAGAAAACTATAAAGTACTTCTATTTGGAGATGACAGGATTTTACATAAAAATTCCCAGTTAATGACTTGTCTCTTGAATATGTAAAGAATTCAGTGATAAAAGATAAACAGCCCACTCAAAAACTGAAAAAAGGCTTTGGAAAATATTACTATAAAGAAGGTATTTAACTGTCTAATAAGCAAATGGAAATATGTTTGCCATCAGTAGTCATTAGAGAAATGCAAATGAAAACAACATAGGCATTCCACTTCGTGCTAAGAGAGCTATAATTAAATACAGATATGGAGAGGGGGTGGGGAATTGGAACCTTCAATACAGTATGGTGGGGGATGTAAGATAGTCTTCCCCTCAAACAATACAGCATTTCCACAAAGCATTAAATATAAATTACTACATGATCCAGCAGTCTATTTTCAAAGGGAATAATTGTTTCCTGACCTTTAAGCAGTTAACACTGTGTAGTCTGAGATTCACTAACTCTAAAGCCAAGATGACAACCTCGAATTTTTATAATTCAGTTAGTTGAAAATTTTTGTTTAACAGTTTCATACACTTTCCTCACCCCCTTCTGCTCTTCCTGAAGACCTTCTCAATAAGTCTCCCTCCTATAGTTATACCGTCTCTTTGCATGAGGTCCACTGAATTTAACAATTACTTTTCCAAGTATAGGTAGGAGTTTATTTAATAGTGCATCGGCACCTTCTCTGAGACTGTACCACTAAAGAAAATAACACCTTTTCCCCCAAACAACCATTAATTGCCAATAGCCCCTCTGAGAGAGTAGAACATAATTTAATTATTTTAAAAATAAAAAAACACAACCATTTTATCCATTCAGAATTGAACTGTTTTTACACTTCCCTCAAAGCTCTTGCAAATGTAGTTACGTTATTTTCCTTTTTATTAGAATTTATTCAATGCATAAAATTATGGGTGTTATCATCTTATTTTAATTCATTCATATCATGAATTTTGACCACAGTCACCACTATTATTCTTTCTTGTTCTCTCTCCCCATCACTAGTTCCTGTCCCATTCAGAATAGTGCCCATTATCCTTTCTTTTCTGCCAGACAGATTAAATATAAATGTAGGTACAGATGATAATGGATATGAGTAAAAAGAGTCTTTTGGAAAAAGATACTTATATAACAGAAATCAGGCAATATTTGTATATAGATAGAGTCTTGCAGTTATAAGGCTCCAAACTCAGGCTTCCATTTGCAGCTATTGGACATATAGTCCACCTGTTATTGTCAGGAAAAGACCTCACAGACTCTCCAGTTCATAACACTAAACTTTCACAAGAGGGAGCTTTAGCTGAGTTTATGTTTCTGCCAGATGGAGCATATGCCTTTCTAAAATCACAGGGCAAAAGGACCACCACCAGGAAAAGAGAGTGATGAGGAGCACAGGCCACAGGAAGCAGTAAAAAGACACTCCTTATCTTTCATCCTAGTGATTTATTCTTACTATTATGTGACACTGTGATCGAAGAATATATATCATGGTCTGCACTGCACTTAAACTGGCAAAATGCTGACACTAGTAAATATTATAAATCACATAGTCATGAGCCAGTTCTCAACAATGTTGCCTTCTGAGGAATGCACAATCGATGAGCTGATCACTGTGTGAATGTCGTAGACTGCAGTTGCACAAACCTACATGGAGTGCAGATCAGTCACTCAATGTGATCTCTCGGTAGAATTAAGATACAAGTAAACACAAGATATACAAAGTTGCTGCCACTGTCCCATGCCACATGTTGTATGGCAATAATCTTTCTGTAATTAGGAAAAATAAATTATAAAGTACTGGTAAAATTAGTATGGTATGTAATAAAAATGTGAAAAACAATAATATTAATAATAACAATAGTACCAACTTATCAGATAAAAACAGGTATCATATAAGGATGATTCAGTCAAGTATGGACTACATATAATTACATAATGATGTTTCTATACAGTTATAGCAGTGGTAAAAGATTATTGCCTATTATTTTGTCTCTGTTGAGGTATTCAAATATTTATCATTGTGTTATATTTTTCTCTATATTTATCTAGTAGAATCTGTCTTTAGAGCCTAAACTGTAGGCCATCTCTATGTTTGTTTGTACTGATGGATTTTGGGGGGAAATAACAGCGCATATTATGTTTTTTATTGATTCTTAGGTTTTTTATTTTATGGAATATATCTCTCAGAAATACTAAAGCAAATGGCATAAATTTCTCAGAAATGTCATCTATTATATTTAGATGCTCGTGAAAGGTTTAATCAATGAGTTCCAACTGAGCTAAGCTGTCTTCACTGTATCATTGGTTATATTCAATTCACCAATAACTTCTCTGGTGGCTTAAATAAGAATAGCTCCCATAGGCTCATATATTTGAATGCTTGATTACCAGGGAGTGTCACTATTAGGAGGTGAAGACTTGTTGAAGTAGGTGTGGTCTTGTTAGAGGAAGTGTGTCACTAGTAGTGGACTTTGGGTGTGAAATGCTTAAGCCAGACCCAGTGTCTCTCTCTCCCTGCTGCCTGCAGATCCAGATGTAGAACTCTAAGCTCCTCTCAGCACCATCTTTTCCAGGATTCTGCCATGTTTTTCACCATGAAGATAATGGACTAAACCTTGGAATTATAAATCAACCCCAATTAAATGTTTTCTTTTATAAGAGTTGTATAGTTATGGTGTGTCTTCAAAGCATTATCAACCCCTATTAAGACAGAAGTTGGCACCAGGAACTGAGGTATTGCTGTGATATACCTGACCATTCTTTTGTTTGGAGTAATGTAGCTTTTGGGTCTTTGAATTAGAAAAGCAGTTGACTACTTTAAGTAGGGCTTAATGAGCCATACTAATAGTTATTCCTTTGTATAAAACATGAAGTTGTCTTAGGGAGGAAAAAGTTTCTCTATACTATGGCAACAGATCAGGGCAATGGGCAAATTCAAGAATTCTTTTTGTGCGTTAGAATGTAGCCACTATCTCTCTATATCCTGAATGGTAGTTCTGACTTTTTGATTCCCAGGAACTCTTACTTACTTGTGTCAGCCATGATCTTCTGAAGATATCTTTCCCTCTGATTCCTACTTACCAACCTCCTTGGATCCCATCGTTCTAAGAATCACAACAATGCCACAGAGGTTTTCTGCTGCCTTTCCCAACCTGCATGGATCACAGACAAGGGGATTTGATTTTTCTACTTATCATCTCTCTTGCCTTCCACAGATACCATGTCCTACTTAGAGACTTATCACACATTACATGGTATTTCTCTTGGCTTTTCTTTCTGTATTGTCTGTATCATTTTGACAAACTTTCTTAAGTACTTGATAAAAACCTGTTGGAAAGATGTGGTGGGTGACTTTAGAATTTTCTATGGTTTAGACTCCTTGGAAATCTAAACCCTCATGTCAACCTACACACACTCATTATTCATAGGAAGTTGAGCTGTCATCTCCTTACAGTTGTCTGTGCAGGAGATTCCACTCTCACCCCAGGACTTCGTATTAGGTAAGAACAGCTGTGGAACTCCTTTGTAAAGGACCTGTCATATGTTTGTAAATCAATTTATTTAGGTCCAGACGTCAAAAAAGAGAATTGCATATTTTTGCATATTGTTCAACTTTTTTAAGTTTTTAGTATGTCAGCAATGACTCTTGTGTCTTGTTGTGTCTTGACCAGAAGTAGATGTCACATGCAGTCTTTGGACAATTCCTTAGTTCTATGCTTTAAAACTCTGGGATATGAATTTATAACCATGTAATAGTTCTCTTCCACACTGAAGGTTTTTGTGAACATTCACTTTCTTTTATAATAAACTGACTTATTTGTTTATTTTTAGTTGAAAAGTATTTGATGAAAGACTATTAGAATAGATTTTTCAGATTTTATATCTATTTAACTCAGGTGTCACCTTCAAATGGATACCAAAGTCAGCATGCTTCTCAGAGTAGAAGATGCCCCTTCATCTTAAGTTTTTAAAGAAATTGCAAAACTGATTTTTTGGAGTCAATTTTTTATGTCCACAATGCTTTTTAGAGTCACAAGAACTGACAGCTTCAACTTATGCTTCTTCCATTAAGTACAGTGGCATTAACAAATTGATACTCAAAGGCAGCATTTGGATTTATGCTGCTAACCCTATTAAGCCCAGCTGCTTTCACATACAATGTTTTCGAGGTTTTTCACACTCACTCTCTGAGATTCAGAGGATTAATATATGTGTATTAATATTACTTTCTATATAGGCCAATGAGTGATAGTTTGAAGCTTTGCTAGAGTTTACAAAACTTGAAGTTCTGCAAGTCTTTAAGTGATTCTCTCACAGCTCTCTAGACATTTTAGGAGTATGAATACATTTTCAAAGTCTTTTGGATTTTGGAAATCAGATCTTAGTTTTAATAAGGAGATTTATGTGGAAAATAGAGCAAATTTGTAAGGTATGCTGTCTCTCATTTCCTGTTTTCTATAAGTACCTGTTTCTCTCTCTCTCTCTCTCTCTCTCTCTCTCTCTCTCTCTCTCTCTCTCTCTTTGTTTTTTTGAGACAGCGTTTCTCTGTATAGCTTTGGTGCTTGTCCTGGCACTGCTCTGTAGACCAGGCTGCCTCGAACTCACAGAGATTTGCATGCCTCTGCCTCCCAAGTGCTAGGATTAAAGGTATGTGCCACCAATGCCCAGACTTTTTGTTTATTTCTAAAGAAAGTTAGTTACTTATGTCTTTGTAGTTTTATAGCGGTGGCATCTGTCCAGGACTCTACAAAACTATGAATCTACTCCAGTGCAGTATTGGAAGGAGTGTTGTGTATCTCATGGACAGAACACAAATTTACAGATATAAGTCTATGCTCTGTGCCTCTTGATCACTCTGGTACAGCTTCCGCACTGTTTGCACATCCCAGTCATCTACTGAAGAAAGTCCTGAATCTTCAATCTGTCATTCATGGATCTTTGCAATTCTATATTATAGGATTTTCTAATTTTGTCATTATCCATGTGACACTTTTCTTGGTGATAGTAATCAATTAACTCTTTGAAAGCCTGGAGATGAACACTGGAGTACTGGAAAGGAACATTCAGTTTAGTGTGAGAAAATAGGGATACGAGATTGGTATAATCTAACTTCTAAACTCAGCCAAAATTCATTCCATTATACATATTTTTAACCTTAATCTGACACATATTTTAGAATGGAAGATATTATAAATCCTTTTAAATTCTGACAATTTTTAATGAGATGTAATTTTACTGCTTCAACTTTTAGTTGGTTTATTTCTGCAATTTACATAGGCAAAATAAAGGGAATTGACATTACTGACTCTTCCAAACTGTTACCCCGCCCATCCATTTATGTTGTCATTTGATAAGTACATCTTGGGAAACTTCGTGATTCAACTTAGAAATATAATGTCAATATTTATTTGAATAATGTGCCACATGACGCTTGTTTTTTTTTTCTGGATTTGATTTTCAGGAATAGCATCGAACACAGTTTTAAAATCTGTCTTTGCAAGATCGGCTTTACATTTTGAGAAAACATATGAAGATAGGCATTTGACTTTACTTACAAGAATGGCTCTGACAGCACTTAGACTAAAGGATTCTCAACAGATTCCCAAAGTCAGAGACTGAATACAAGCTCTGCTTCCAGAAATATCTCATCCTTCAGGCTCACTGAAAAAGTAGCTAGACCATTTGTCAACAAAGAACAGATTTTTCTGCTGACGTAATTTACTAGCCAGATGCTGACATGTCCTCTCATTCCAGGTTATACCCTGTAGCCAGACACCACACCTTCCTTTTTAGGCTTTGGGACAAATGCTCCTTGTTTCTAGACTAAATCCAGACCGGACATTGGTGAACCTCCTTTAAGCCGATAATATATCTGAATTACCTCACTTCCAAGTAGGTTCAGGAGACACTCCACCCAGGCCCTGAATCCAGTGCAAATTACTTCTTTGCAACCTTTCTTGGTTTTGAACATCTGCCTCTTCTTGCTAATGACAACTGAATGACTTCAGATAAGTTCTGTCAATTCAAAAGGACTATTAGAGTTAACTACGTGTAAATTGAGCAGATTTTTCTGCAACTATTCTTTCCTAGGCCTAGAAGTTATAGTTTTCTTGATAAGGAATTATGAGCTTTTGCTTTCTTGGAACACATCTGGTTAGCTGTGGTGATGATTTTGGGTCATTGGAAATATACTCCATTGAATCTGGGAAGGACTGACGACACCAAGTAGTCAGAATATGTTTCCTAAGCACATGGTAGTCCTCAATATGTTTTTAGATTTCAGTATTTTCATTGGAAGAGAGAAGAATAAAGGAATATGAAATTCATGTTTTGGAATAAGATTATTCATATTCTGTGTATTTCCCATGTGTAGTTAATTTCATAATAGTCTTATGAGTAGCAAAAATTGTTACTCTTTATGCACAAATTTAATGAAGCAAGAAAATAACCAGCTTCTATCGGATTTCTCAACCTTATCATGTATGATGTGAAAGCTGTTTGTTTTTTTTTAAAGGGCAATTTATTGAGTCTCCCTTAATCTACTTTTGTTCCTTAAAAAGTGACTTATTAAGAAAAAAAGTTCTCAGTTTGGTCTTACAGTTGTGATAGGTTGGATTAAATCAAAAGCATCAGTAGAAGAAAAATTCTTCAAAGTTGTATCTTGTTAAAGTTGGTCAACTTGCTGGTCATGTGGCACTTGCCTATTATCTCATCCAACTGTGGATTACTGAAGATTTAGCCCATTCTGGTTTACAAAGAATTCTAGGACCACCTACACCCTGCCTAAAAAGAAAAAAAGACAACAAAGAAATAACCACATGACAAATAAAACCGGTTAACTTTTAGAGATGTTTTAATAAAACAAATATTTCACACTTTAGATAAAGGAAAACAGAGAAATGAAACTTTTTCATTTAGTAAAATAGCCAAAATACAGAAAATGATTTCTAACACCGTGTATTTGTTCAATTTCTTTCAAGTTTAAATTTGGAGCAAAACATTTCTAGGGAAAAAAAGATAAGATAATAAAGGCGTAAGTCACAGACAATGCCACACCAGTTTGGAATTATGATTAATAGAATGGTTATTTATTCAAAGGGGAAAAAACTTACAGATTACCGTTCCAGACAACAGCCCCTCCGCGTGAACCGGAAAGGAGTCTAGAAGCCGGAAGCAAAGCCGGAAGCCAGAGAGTAGGAGGAGGACAACCGCTGCTTTTTTTTAAAGAGAGAGAGACCACTCCCCAATGGGCTGGTAACTTAGCGACGATTGGCTGAAAGAGCGGAAGGAGCTCCCACAGCATCTTCTCCCCTTAGAAGTAAGAGAGTTCTAAGCCTACTACGAAATTATATACAATAAATACAAATATCCTATTCTAACTAGCTTAAGTCTTATATAACAAATAACTTGGCCAAGTCATGAAAGGAAAGTAACTACATTTATATAATCTTCAATCCCATCGAAGATCTGAGAAGGGAAATAATGTTACCTGAGTAATTAGGAAGTGCAATCAAACAACTTTCAGAACATGTAACAAATCACAGAGACAATTGGCTCCCTGGGCAAACACCCAAAGTCACATTTGCAGCGTTGAAGCAATCAACTTTGGCTAAGGCCTGACGTAACTGACATAGCATTTTCAAAGGCAAGAAACTTCAAAACTATCTTACCCTGTCTTGGCAGGATATGACAGTCCTGTTTTATCCATTTACGGATATTCTGTAACTCTCTCAGTAGTTGAGGTATGAGCATTTCTTTACCCAAAGGACAGTTCTGCCAAGAAGAAAGGCTCCAGGTGGAGTGTCTTTGGTGCTCAACATTCTCTCGGGAATAGATTGGTATTGCCAGGAGCGATTGTGTCTCCCTACCACAGAGCTCTGAATTAGATTAAAGGCCATTTTCTACAGATCTTTGAAGAGCTTGAAGATTATCTATCTATACTGAATATAATCTCTATGTATCTAAAGAACCTGATTAGTCTAATTATAAATGACAAACTTAGATGACTGTTGATCTATATAATTCTCAATATCTATCTAACTTAAAGACTGAGATAATAAACAACTGTGCAATAAATGAGGAAAATGTGGCCTCCAAATA